TCACAGTCACTGTTGACACTGATGGAGTTGATGTGATATGCATGTGCGTTAGCAAAAACACGCCGTGGGGACGCCTCCACCAGGAGATCCATCGGCCGCAGGACAGGGACCTAGACAGTCCAGAAACTCACATCAGGCAACAAGAAGAAACAAAAGAAAACAGATGGAGAAATGCTGCACACCTGTAGAGTGGTGATTGTAGAGAGGTCCTTCAGTCTGCCCTCCTCGTCTCTCAGATTGTAGCCTTCTGCTCGCTTGTCTTTCTCACTCACCTTCCATAGCTTCACGGTCTTATCTGACAAGAAACACAAAAAGTATGATATTCTTAAAGAAACAGCACTGTGTTTTGGCATTGTGCTATATAAAGTTATATTAGCAAGCGTTTTCAGCTCTTACCATTGGTGGAGAGGAGGAAGTGGGCGGGGTTATGCGGAGGCAGCCAGCGAATCTTATTGATTTTCTCTTCAATCTCCAAACTTTTCAGGTAATCGAACTCAGGCTCATGACTCTGAAATGTACTATAAACATTATATTCGCCCTAAAAGAGAGAGGTAAGGGGACAAGATAACAGAAAGTAGTGACATTTTTTTTTTCATCAATGAATGAATTGTCCACAATTAATTCCCATTTGCAGCAACAGAAAAAAAAAAATCGAAATAGCATTTCTATGACTCTCCAAAAAGGGGGAAAAAAATACTGAGAGATTAATGTAATTAGTCAGAAGAAAGAACGGTTTCAAATTTGCTGTCACTCCCTCAGCTGTCAGTATTAGAAATTCTCACGCAGCGGCTTTAACTAGTTTTATGTAATTTAATTTTAAAGGTAATATAACACAAAGTATAGTTTTATAAATGCACTTTAATATTTTTAAGAATGGAAATGTAAAAAACTTTGCTAGATTCACAATGTTAATAACTGTGAAAAAGCATCATTACAGTCTGTGAAAAGGGTCCATGATTTGTTTTTATCTTAATTTTGCTGCTTACTTCCTATATTAAGATATTTGAGTAAATATTGTAATAATAGGTTTTATTTATTTATTTACTACGTAAATATTATGTTAAAACATTATTTATTATAATAAATATAATGTACTGTATATAGTAAAATAAAAACAATATAAAATTACATATAAAATAATTTA